TGGGCAGGTTTCTCTAACTACCTGATACCTCAAGGCATCTTCATCTTCAGGCATATATTTAATAGCCTCTGGGTAGGTTTAGAGTGAAGATTAACAGTGCAGGGTAACAGAGCAGCTGTAAGACTGATTAAAATGGCACAGTGATGATACACTGCCATCAGTGTAAAAAAAGGACTGTAAGTGTGCCTTTCTTAAACCAATTATATGAGTCTGCACATTTTCTACATGTTGGGATCTCATCCATCAGAAAGGATGATGAGCCTGAGGCTTAAAATGCTTCAGAGCATGCACCTCTTCCTACTGGAGTGTAAGGACACCTAGACCCATCCCCACAGTCAGCCACATCTTCAGATAAGATCCTGCCACTCACATTTGTAAGAATTCCATGGTTGTGTTCATCAACAGATATGGACCTTAGACAGGGGGATCCCTCCCCCAAAAATTAGCTGCTTTACCACATAAAAATGACTTTTCTGCAGATTCTTTCCTTAGTCAAGCTTTCAGTGAACCATGCTGCTTCTCAAATCTGTCAAACATATCCAAATGATATTACCATGATGCTTAAAGGCAGGTGAAAGCAGGTGGTAGAGTTGTTACAGCAATAGGCAGCAGCAACATAGTTCCCACAAGTAGCTTTGATTTGGCAAAGACGATTAAGATGAGCTTCTCCAGGATCTCTGTATCATTGTCTGCCAGTAGTAGCTTTTAGTTTTCATTTCGCTGGTTGAGCAAGCCCCCTTTCCTCTCAAGGGACTACCAAGGTGCTCTAAGAGAGGTGTGGAAGACTCAGAGCCTCCTCAGGTTCCGTGCCACTGAAGAGTCACATGGGGTGTGCAAGGGTGCTCCAGCCAATGCTACAATCCCCAAGCAAGACAGGAAGGACAACAATTTCAAAATGCTTCCTGCATGCTGATTTGCACAGCTCCACGTCTAAAAGCAAATCCTCCATGTGTACACAGGTGGAATCTTATCTGAAGATACCAAAGGTTAGGTGTGACATATATCCTGAAAATATCCCACCTGCTATGCACACTGGGTATTTGCATGTAGAAGTTACCAGTCTCAAAAAGCCATATTTCTGCTGCCATTTTTGCCTCTCCCCAAATAGCAGACACTTTTTGGTATCACTTGTAAAAACTATTACAGAGCATACACATGCCATAAAGGACCAGCAAAGCCTTGGCAACTGACCTTTCTCCAGCCTTGGGAACAAGCTGAGACTCTTTACACTGATGGTTCAGACCCAAAAGCAGGATAAAATTGTACTGGTGGTTTCTGCTCTGGATTGCAGAGTTTCAAAAGGTGTTGTATGGCTGCTGCTTGGGCATTTATTGATGCAAATATTTAAAAAAAGAGCTTGAATAGCTCTTAATTAAATGGGTTTGTATTGTGCTGTGTGAGGGTGTGCCCCTTTCTGGCTGGCAAAGCAAAACAGGTAAAGGCCAAAGCTGTAACTAACACTGAAACACAGGGCGGGATGGGAGGCTCTGCACACCTCAGGACTTAAAACGCTCTTCAACCTTTGGTATTGTCCTCAACACAAACAAAAAGCAAGAGAGAAGGTTTCATTGGGGTTTATAAAGAACCTCTTTAGCATTAAAAGCTGATCTACAGGCACCAGACAAAAGGATAATAGCTCTGCCGAAATGCTACACGGGCCTGAGGAATAATTTCAAGTCAAGACTGAGAAAGATCAAATAGCAGCTGGAAAGCAAGAATATACCAGGGAGAAGGGGAGAAAGGAGCTACACTCCTTTGGCTCAAACAGATGAAAATACAGAATAAAAAATACATGTGTTACTAGACGGCTCTTTTGCATTGTTAACTCCATTTGCATTGGTAAATAAACCAGAATTTTCCTTTTTAACTTTCTCACCTTAGTACAGTTTTGACAGTTTTGTATAACTACACTCCCTCTCTTATGAGATTTTACTGAAGCTTAGATCCATGAGGGTACTGAGACACCACTAAGGTAAATGGAATCAGACACCTCAATGCTTTTGTCAATGTGACCCTTTGACCACATTGGAAATCTGCAGCTGCACAAGGAGAGATACATACCCACACAAACACACTGGTTTAAATAGACATCTTAGGATATAACTAAATTGTTTTTCCTACATGTGCAAGTGGGATGCCAATGCCACAAATGCAATTCCACTTCTGCCTGTTTCTGTGGTTCTTGTTGAAGTCCCAGCTGCAGATTACAATGCACAGTATCAGTAACTGTACTGGAAGTCACTACACAATGATGAAGAAAGTCATGCTAAAACTCCCACATATCCAAAAGTTCCTCTTATGGATCTAAAACTTTAGAAAGCCCATTTGAACCTCTTGCCATCACTTACTACACCTTGGTTTTATTAGTTGTTGGTTTGTCTCTACCTCAAATGTATGGCAGTGCAAAATGTATATTCTGTACATCTGCCTATTTCATAAATTCTACTTCTCTAGCTATTTCAGGGTCCAGCAAGGAGATTGTTATAGCATTAGTATACCAAGAAAAGAACCCAAGAATAAAGAAGCCATAAAATATGGGGTTTTTTTTCCTCCTCCTCCTTGCAGAGAGGTCTGAGCTACAGCATTTCGAGGTAGTATGGTTGGCAGGGTTTCTCTCTTAAGTTTACACCATGCTTCTAGACCTGAACCCAACAATGTTAAACAGGACTGGTAAACCAACTCTGATTTTTAGAAACTTCTGTCACTGAAAGCACATGCCAAGATAAACACAACCCAGAATATGAATCTCCTTCTCTTTCACAAGTAGTCATAGTTCCAGCATTTAGACTAAGGCTCAGTTCTGCTCCTGTTCATAAAATTGAGTGGGAATGAGTCCAGCAACAGACCTTTCATTTTCCTTTGGCCACTGAAGTGCTGCCCACTCTCCTGACACTGGGCAGGCTCTTGAGAGATCAGTGGACAGTTTATCTGCTCAAACATTTACAGACTGAGGATAAAACAAAGACCTGGAAAGCAAAATGTACTTAAGTCAGCAGTGAAAAAAAACAAGTGAGTCACCAAAGTTCAAGTGCACAGTACCTCTTATTTTCACTTCAAGAGCATACAAAGGTATGGTTCTTATTTCCAGTAACAAGAAGAGTCATGCTTTTTACCTCCTTAGTGTAAAAGGAACTAACATGATGAACAGTAACTTTTGATCAGGGGAAAGACCTGAGGCATTGCAAACAGGCAGCAGAAGATTCACAGTACACACAGGCTTATGTTTGAGAATCAAGCCTATTTTACACATCCCAAAACATCTGATAATCTGGCAACTAATACCCTGAAAAAACATTCTAACTCACTTTACTCACATGAAACATGATGTTTAGGTCTGATGAGGATTACGCACCAGAGTAAATTTTTCATTTAAAATCATGCCTTACAGCTATCAAGGAAAGCTATTTGCTATCCTCAAAACATGTATCATCTGATGTTATATTGCTTTATCTAGATAAAGTGGGCAGTAAATCAAATTTGTATGCTGCAGCTGCTAATCAATATGCTTTAGTTGAAGACTACATCCACGTACTGATTCTTAGACCTATTTATGAATTTCAGATGTGTCATTAAGGATAAAACTGATAAACTACACTACTTCTGATGTCTATAAAATTGAGCAACTTTATCTCTTGTTTTATTCTGAAATGAAAAATCTCAGTCGGCAGGCCTCCCGTCTTATTTACAATAAATTAGTGATGAAGGGGAAAGGTTTGTTTTTCAAAAGGGTGTAATTATATGGTCTCGAATATCATTCTATAACCAAATGTCTCTCGCCCCAGCTTTTAAAAGACATCTTAAAAAATATCAGGTTTGGGGCTGTTTTGCCATACCAGATAAATCCCAAAAGGCAGCAAAATGAGCTTCCAGTTTGTACCCGCACTTCAAACAGCTTGTCTTCCAATTAGATATCAGCTGTCTAAATGAGCCAAATTAAACATGGGCTTTAAGTGGAACATCCAGCTGCACTGGCCAGGCCAAGGCTGGGAGTTCTATCCTTCAGATTTTAGCCTTCATACGAAGTTATCTTGCCTATGGACAACAGACTTGATATTTCAAATCATCATGGCTGGGCTTCGCGAACAAAGATTTGGGAAGGGCTCTACCCACGTTTGTTACAAGTGCGTTGGTCAATATGAGATAGGCACGTCCGGTTGCAAAAGGCACAGCAGAAAGACTCCTTAGGTGGTAAATTCTGCAAGACACAATTCTTTCTGCATTATCTCTTCTCCTCTAGAGTGATCCTGCGTGCTTTCTCAAAAGCATCAGCAGCGTTATAGATGGCGTGTCTCCAGACCTCCCGATTGGAGGCCAGAGTAGACCAGTTATGTTGATCAATATGGCCAAGGCTGAGATGTTGTTTCAGAGAGTCCTTGTATCTTTTCTTCGGGGCTCCTCTCATGCGGCAGCCAGCGGCAAGTTCACCATAAAGCAAGATCTTAGGGAGGCGGTGGTCCTTCATCCTGGAGACGTGCCCTGCCCAGCGCAGCTGTGTTCTCAGCAACATGGCCTCAATACTTGTGACTGCTCCTTGTTCTAGAACAGACGTGTTAGTCACATAGTCTGACCAGTGGATGTTATTTCGAATATAAAATTATCATTGGTACCACTACAGTGAAGAGAGAACTAACCTCCCCCCAAATAATAATAATAAACAAACAAAAAACACAATGCAAAAAACCCAACAGTGAAGATCCGTTTCCTCTCCTAAACAGTAAGGCTCCCTCTCCATTCATTCAGTTCAGTTTAGGTCATACTCTGACATAACATCTAAGGTTAGAAGTCTTGAGGCTTACAAGGCATTCATTCCAGTGTTTCCAATTCAGGATCATTTTCTGCAGGTGTTCCCTATAATCTTTGCTGAGGTCCAGACTGACCAGCCTACAATAGCAGGGAATGATTCACCAGGCAAGTACTCCAAGATTTATTTTTAGTTTTGGCAAAAGCAGGAATAAGTAAGCATATACTTTGCAAGTTTATTTGAAAAGTTCCATTTGCTAAATATTTCTTTTTTGCATCAAATCTGCATCCTTAGTATCTGGGATAATATTAAGAAAATTTCACTACAACTGACTCAGCTGTTCTCCTCATCTGTTTATTTCCATTTATTTTGTCAATATGTCACTGTTTGATTTTAAAAATAAACAGCAAGTACTTTCTCAGTCACCCTATTTCCTAAACTTAATTTCTGATGCATGATCAGAAAGCAGATGAGAAAAATACCTATACTAAGAATGCACAGAATCCACTATCCTTGCACAGAAACACACTATCCTTGTAATAGAGCAAGCATTCTCCAATACATAAGAAAGGCTGAACTTTCTCCACTTCAAGGATTAAAAAAAATATTCAGGTGCTCCATAAAATGCTGGTTTTTTTCTGCATCAGCTTAATTCATTTACATGTGTATAGATTACTTAAGCTTTATCTGATGCTGAGGCAGAGAAATAAGAGGACCATTTCTGTGCTACAGGTTGGTTAGGGCCACAGGACTTCTCCCTCCTCACCATGGTACACAGGTCAGCACTAACCTGAAGATATTGCTGTGTGGCCTGTGCGCAGGGGGTGGGGAAAGTGAGACGAGGCAGTCACCCTGTTTTCTCATGGATCTAGTTTTTCAGTGGCTGCTATCAAATTCATTGAAGCAAGGATTTGACTGAGCAGGAAGATAGAATTACGTCTCCTTCCCACAGCTCAAGGTCAGGATAAAGACGGACGAGGGCTGTGAGGCATTTTATGTGCATTTATTGACTTTGTATTCTAACTAAATTTCGAAGCTGAAAGTACCATATACATGGATTAAGACATAGCTAATATTTAGTCACATATTAACCAGCACTGATATTGAATCTTAGCAGCAGCCATCTGAACAGCATACCAGACTTCTCAAATAAAACCCAAATTGGAGATTTCTTGTGTCTAGGTAAAGAGTTGCAACTAATAAACCTGAGATGTTTCCAAAGAGCAAACAGAGGTTCACTGCAGAACAAGTCAGCTTCGAGGTAAAGAAGAGAGGAGGAAACTGTATTTTCACAACAGTGTAAGGATTCAAAATGCAGAAAAGCATCCACATGAGATGTATAAAACACTAGTCTGCATTCATTCTCCAGCCTCTGGATAGTTCTGAGGATCTGACCCTCACAGAACTCAGACTAAACCAGACGCAGGAGTTAAGAAATGCATCACTGCAGTATCTGCTTACTCTTTCTTCCATTTTGGACATACAAATACAAAAAAGTTTCTCTGGACCCTAGAATACATAAATACAGACCAACTATTTTAGCCTGTAATAAACATGAACATGTTGCCTTCTAAAGGTAGTATGACAACTCTGGCAGAAAAGCCACCCCTTTCTGCCTCCTTTCCCCCCACTCCAGGCTAACTGGAGCTGAAATACAGTTCATCTCTCTCTCCATTCCCAGCTTTTAAACTTTCCTCCTTCCCTCTCACACCCTTTTTCCAAGGCTAGGTTTGCTCCAATTGCTTCTTCTCTAGAGAAGGATTTCAGATGCCCCTTGACTGAAGAGGCCTCACTTAAGAAAAGCATCTTTGAGGAGAAACTTTTCAGAGCTCCCCCGGCTCTTTGCTTGGTCAGCATGTAGTCAGCAACATAAAAAGGCAGTCCAAACCCAGTACCTTGTAGTTTTACTAAATGAAATAAAAAAAAGCATATAGCTAAACATTGGGTGGGAAAAAAAGCTTTTATGGAAATAGATTTAATGCTACAGTCCCTTCATCCTTGAGTTCCAGAGTTTGAACGGGTAGCTGAGTGAAGCACCAGTGATCACCTCAGCAGCTATGTTGTCTGAGTTTATTGCACAGGAGCTTCTGAAGTATTATTACACACATTGAACCACGGGGCACTTGCCCAGCATCTAGTGTACCATTTCAGTGATTGTCAGTGACTGGTTTAATCCATATATTCACTTGGATCTCAGCTCTTGTTTCCTTTCCAGTCTGTTTTTATTTTTAATTGACCTTATATGATTAGTTACAACCAAACAAAATCATAACTGTGTAATACCTGACTGCTAGGAAATAATTTTCAGTCCCTACCACTGTGTAATATATCACATTCAGAAAATGTCTAAAACCATTTTAACAATATAAAGTATATTGTGAATGCATTTAAAATAAATAAATCACCTGTTGCTACATCACCTACTATCAAGAAATGGGAAATTGCTAAGAACTTTTAGCTGCATTTGCTCTGTAAGGCACACCACCAGTACAAATCTGGCTTATATTTACTTTGACAAAAAATATAGGAGCTGTTAGAGGGAGCTGCTTGAGTTAAAGCACATTATCTTGCTATCAGAAGAAATCCTGGGACACTTAACCTTGCTTCACAAGCCTTGGAGATGGTAAATAGCAAAGAACATTTTCAGTGGTGCCCAAGACTATTCCACATCAGGAGTGCAACCCTGCTTGTGCTCTCCAGGGTTGGTCTCACTCCCCAAAGGGTGTTTACATTTTATTACACAATTTCTTCATTGGAACTTCATTATGCCAGTTATCACCAATTATGCAAAAATCATGTATCCCCTGGGTAAACAGTGCAAATTCCTACACAACACAGGCCTCCCTCTGTAACAGAACTATGAGAGACCAGCCTGTGAAAAACCTGCTTATCATTACACAGTAAGAAAAGGGAGAAAACCAGCATGGTCCTGCCTTTTGCATATTTAAATGTGATGTGGGGCATGGGTGAATTCAGGAGCTGGCCCTTCGCAATACCTCTCTTTTGACCCCCACAGGGGAAGGAGGATGGGTTCACGGCGTGCCAGCTAGCACAGGGCAGGAGCACCGCCGGAGGTCCTTGGCCCTGAAACTAGATAAGAGCACTTTGTTCCCCCCTTCCTTCGATAAGACAGTGTGTGAGATGAAAGCAGCAAAGCACGTCCTCGGCTTGAGAGCCAAAAGGAGCTGGGTCATAGGCCTGAGAAGTCAGGCCTTGTTGGCTCCTGACAAGGGCTGGGGGAAGGTTCAGAGACCCCCAGTGTCGGCCCTGGGATAGCACCTTGAGTCCGCTCACCACAGTAGAGGGAGTGGGGTATTTATTTGTGTTATTTTTTTTTTTTAAGACAATCACATCGTCCCATCATCTAGGGGTTTGGTCTTGGCGGTGTTCATGTAAGACAGCACACGATTCCCTCATCTGGCGGAGATGCCGGGTTCCCCGCAGCGTGTCGTCGGGGTTGGGGAGGCCGCGGCCACACGCCCCCATGTCGCTCATGGGACCATGCCCAGCTGTGGGGCAGTCACTGGCTCCGGCTACCTGTCCTGCCAGTCCTCCGGCCACCCGTCCAGTGGCAGCTCCTCGGCAAGGTCCTGCTGGGCTACTCGTCCCCTTGGGCGGCATGGCCTGGGGCACCGCCGCCGTCGAAGACCTCGGGGCCGTCGCCGAGCAGCGAGGTGCGCACCTTCCGCCGCTCCTTGAAGCGGCCCGAGTGGGACACCCGGAGGCTCCGCCGGCTCCCGCCGCCCGTCCCCGCGGCGTCGCCGCTGCCGAAAGGGGTAGGCTGCTCCTCCCGGCCGTCGGGGCTGGGGGGGTCGGCGGAGGTCTCGCTGGCGGCGGGGGGCGGCGGGGCTGCCGCCGCTTCCTTGTGCTTCTTCTTGCTGGTCAGCGATTTCCACCAGGGCGCCGCCGAGCCGCCCTTCACGGCGGCGCGGGGAGCGGCGGTGGCCGCGGCGCTGTCCGCCATCTCGGGCTCCTGCGGGAAGGAAGCAGGCGAGGGCGGGTTGGCAGCCGGGCACTGCCACCCAGCTCGGGCGGCGTCGGGACCCCTCTTCTCCAGCAGCGCTGCCCGCCCGGCACCCCGGGAGCGGCCCCGCGGGGAGGGACGGACGGGACCTGCGGTGGCAGCGAGGCGGGCGCGGGGAGAGCGTTCTGCGCCCCGGAGAGTGGCTCTGGAGCGCCGCCCGCCCCCGTGCGCAGCCGGCAGAGCGACGGGAGCCGAGCGGCCAGACCCGCTGCCTGGACTCGCCAACCTCGTCCCCAGAAGTTGACCCAAAGTCCGGTACCTTGGGGCTGCTGCCGCCCCGCGGGACGGGGCCGGGAGCCCGGCGCGTCCTGAGGCTCCAGCGATGAGGCACCGCTCCCTCCCTCCCTCCCTCCCTCCTCCTGCCGCCCCGCCGGCTGCCGGCGCAGCAGGTGCGGGAGGTGACACTGACCTGCGGCGCCCGCCCGCCGCTGCGGGAGCGCTCTCCTGCCCCACGGGGAAGCGCAGCCGCCTCCACCGCCGCCGCAGCAGGCGAGGGGGGAAGGAGCGAAGCTGTACACAGTGCAGTGCGCTGCGGTGCGGCGGCAGGTGCCGGCCGGCCCCGCGGCTCGACCCCGGGGGAGGGGCGGGGCGAGGGGCGGCTCCCGCTCACCTGCCCGGCTCCCGCCGTGCGGGGCGGGGAGCGGCCGTGGAGGAGGAGTCGGGCTCGGCTCCGTGGGGCGGGGAAAGGTCAGTGTACCCTGCCGGAGTGGAGAGACAGGGGAGAAGAGGAAAAGGAGAAGGAGGCGGGCCCCTCAGCGCAAGTGAGGCAGCACCGTGAGCGCGTAATGATATCCAGGGCTGCCGAGCGTGGACGGCCGCAGTGTTGCCAGTGTGAATGGCTGAAACAAAATATCACTACTTTTTGTTTGTGCACGTGATGGATGTGCGTGGGTGGGTAGCCTTGAAGAAAATAGAATTGTGTTTAACTGCCCATCTTTAAAAAATGAACGGAGCTGTAGGTCAGACCGTGCAGTCTGCTATTTGTATTTGAACTGGTTTAGTATCGGGACTTTGAATTTCTTTGTGATAATGGATATATGGCCATACAGCTTTACCTGTTTTTATTCATCCAGAAAGGAGAAAAAAGATTTGCTTGTGCCACGCCATGTGTTAAAAGTAGTGATTTGTTCTTTGGAGAACTATGCCATGTAATATGCATTTGATCCATAGTACTCTTCCCATCAGCTACACAATCAGTTACTCGAAGTTGACTATGATGGTGTGGAGGAGTTCATGAAAGCATCATATTTCAGCCTCATCTTCTCTTGCAGATCAACTTCTACTACTTGAAGCTCCCCTGAAAAGCCCATACAGATAAGTATGGAAATTGGTCAATGCAGGTTACTGAGGGAGAGGAGCCTAGGGCATGCACTTTACTCTGTAGATTGGGATCTACGAATCCAAAGGCTTTTGGATAGGAAAGCATGTGTGCGCACACTTGAAGTGCTTCAAACTGTCTATCATACTAACTAATATCAGCAGCAAAACCTTTCTCCTATGGAATAAAACAGTAACAAAATATGGCCTTTACATTCCCTCCTAACAAGTAAGCAACTAACATTTTCTGAGATGCATAGCACCAGGGCATCAGGCTTTTTTGGGCCAAGGACAGCAACAGACCATAGGGTCAAGTTTCTCCATGTGAATATGACTTACTGCTTTGCTACTCACTTGTAGAGAAAGAGAACACGAGCATGTCTGCTCATCTTGTGTCCCAGGGAAGTGCCTGGGAAAAAGGGAATTTATGTTGAAAGAAAGATATTTTTTATTTATAAAAGCCCTTTTCACAAAAGGGCTCACAAAATGCCAAACTTACTTCAAATCAGTGTGTTTTTTTCAGTTAAACCCATTTCAAAGAATTATCCAAAGGAAGAGTTTTGCCCTTTTTGACACTGTGCTGAAAAGAGAGAGGCAGGTTGGAAAGCTTTGTAAGAGATGTGTGAGTGGGAGGGTGCTGCCTGTGTGTGTATGTAGTGGTGCAGGAGGACAGCAAAACCTGCTCTGCTTTTGAAAGCCACAGCATGCTGTTCCACAAGATTGTCACTAAGGTTCATGTTTATATAAAAACAATTCTGAAAGTGAAAATGTATGCGCTCTCCCTTTCTTGCTGCAACAGTACTTGTTGCATTCCTTCAGTGCTAGTGCTCATCCTCATTCAATGGGAAGTTCAGCTGCACGAATAAATCTGTCTCAGAACACAACAGATTCTGAAACTTTACCTAAAAACTCCTTAACTGTAAGGAAGGCCCAAAACTTTATCAAAACAGACTGTAAACACAGCTCCTCAAACTTTCAGTTCCCAGCCAGCTGCCAGCCCTTCCTTTTATCCCATGAATTAGTCCCCACAACAGAAGCAAGCAGAAGAGTATAGACCTCTGACACCAGTCCTTTCCTTACATTAGTATATCCAGCAGCAAACTCAGGCTGATTCTTTGAATCCCAAACTCTAAAACTTGTCTTCTCTTTCACTCTTCACAGAATCGTGGAATCACACAATATTCTGAGCTGGAAGGGACCACAAGGATCATCAAGTCCAGCTGTTAAATGAATGGCCCATACAGGATCGAACCCACAGCCTTGTCATTATAACACCATGCTTGAATCAACTGAGTACCTGGAGATAAAACCAAGGTCCTGTTCCTATGTCAGAACAGAAAAATACAGATATTTGTGACTATTGGCCCCAGTACCCTTCCTAGCTCTGCAGGCATTGCAAAAAAATCTGTTCATCCAATATCCCTATTCTTAGCCAGAAAATCCAAACAGTCAATAGAAAGACAGAGTTGGTTGACACAACATGCTCCAGTTTTTGCAACTTCAGTAACAACTCACTTGTTCAGGCTTTGGATTTCCAAAGTCTGTCCCTAATTCCTACTTCAGTTGCAACTCTGAGACTCACATATATTAAAAAACCCTACCATGAATAACAGTCTCTTACTGACATCCTCCCTATTCCTAATACTGAGGGCTGTGCAGCAAGCAGTAACAGTACCAGTTCCTCGACATTTGGATTCCTAACTCAGCCCTAAGTGTTACCTTATTATGAATACCTATGGACTCCAGACTCCTAAAGTTCTTTGGGCAGCAGCATGTGGTGAATAATATGGAACCCATACGTGCCCTGTAGTAGAACAGAAAATAAAGTATCTTCAAATGTGGCTGGCAGCAATTCATGTTCTTCAAGATCTACAGTTCCAAAACATATGGCTAACCCTACTCCTCATTCTAGCCTTCATTTTAGTGGTAACAAATGCCTCATGCTTTCAAGAAAAGAGAATACTTTGACTCCCCCGCTTTGTCAGGCCCTGCAGAGCCCTGCAATGAAGGCAGCTTCCAGTGGCAAGCTTGGTTCGTGCCATCCCTACATCAACTGCAAACTGAACCCTGACAGTTTCTCTACTTATAATAAGCTGTTCACTTCTACTGTAGCTTACAAAACACTTCCTCTGACTGACACAAGCTTTGTTCCTAACTGCAGTCCTTACAACATCCTGCAATAATCTATGTCCTTCAGGCTTTGAACTCCCAGTCCTGGCTCTAGCTGTAGCATCAGCATAATTATATCCAGAATACCATGCCTTCAGAGAAAGATAATGTAAAGTATGGCCCCCACTGATGTCCTGAATCTGCAAGCCCTAGAGCATTCAGCAATAATCATAGTTCCCTAAGGTTCAGATTTCTGAGTCTTAACCATTATCTTTAATCAAGGAATTAATCTCTGCAGCTAAAGAATAGGAAGGGTATTTATGCTCTCACTCTTATCTCCATGAGCCCTAGAGTCTCTCCATTCCCTTTAGATAGCTGTAGGGGACACAGCAATATAATTCTGCTTTGAAGATCCAGTTAGATGGCATTCTTGTGTGTTTGTGTATTACCTTCCTACTCAGAGTTTTCCTGGTTTCTGTCCCTGGTATGGGCAGGGGGTCTGTTGGCACTGGAATCTTCTTCCTCCCTTCACTTCAGACTTTGACTCTCTACTAGTCAATAAAGAAATAAGAAGGTGTCCAGACAGGCTCCTGCAGCTTGTGCCTTTGAGCAAGGTTTGGGGAGAGTGCAGCATTGAGGCAAAATATCATAGTCTCTCCAGCTACTGCCAGTTTGAGGAACTTGAACAGCTAGAGAAGTGCCCACTTGTGGACCCTTCCTCCCAGCCCCATCTCTTTTTCTGCCCTCTCCACCCTCTTCATAGAATCATAGAATCAACTGGGTTGGAAAAGACCTCTGAGATCATCAAGTCCAACCCTTGATCCACTACCACCATGGTTCCTAGACCATGGCACTAAGTGCCACATCCAGTCTCTTTTTAAAAATCTCCAGGGACGGAGAATCCACCACTTCCCTGGGCAGCCCATTCCAATGCCTTAATACCCTCTCTGTAAAGAATTTCTTCCTAATATCTAACCTAAGCCTCCCCTGGCAGAGCTTAAGACCATGCCCTCTTGTCTTACTGATAGCTGCCTGGGAGAAGAGACCAACCCCCACCTGGCTATAACCTCCTTTCAGGTAGTTGTAGAGAGTGATAAGGTCTCCCCTGAGCCTCCTCTTCTCCAGGCTGAACAACCTCAGCTCCCTCAGCCTCTCCTCATAGCACTTGTGCTCAAGTCCCTTCACCAGCCTCGTTGCTCTTCTCTGGACCTGCTCCAGCACCTCAATATCCTTCCTGAACTGAGAGGCCCAGAACTGGACACAGTACTCCAGGTGAGGCCTCACCAGCACTGAGTACAGGGGAAGAATCACTTCCCTGGTCCTGTTGGCCATGCTGTTCCTGATCCAGGCCAGAATGCCATTGGCCTTCTTGGCCACCTGGGCACACTGCTGGCTCATGTTCAGCTTCCTGTCAATCCAAACTCCCAGGTCCCTTTCTGCCTTGCTGCTCTCCAGCCACTCTGTCCCCAGCCTGTAGTGCTGCAGGGGGTTGTTGTGGCCAAAGTGCAGGACCCGGCTCTTGG